GGAATGCCTTCTAACCTTGGGGACTCCTCTTTCAGGAATTTCTTGAACAATATTTTAGTCATAGTAATAGCTACCTGTTAAGCTAGTATCTGCCTTGAAGGCTGACACTGTGCCCTTGAGTTTGGAATCTTCTGTGCTTGACATGTAAAGAGGGGCTCAATGTATATTTCTTCAATGCATGAATGAGTAAGTCCTTCCGGTTTAGATCTGGTTTTAATTTCCAGGGAACAAGAGTAAAAAGATATCAGTTAGCCTGCTTTTATATGTATATGAGATTACACAGAACAGGACTTTGGACACGTCCAGCCACTACCCATGGTACTAAATTCCTGAAAGAATCTACCCCATGAAACATGGTATGATGAGAGTTTCGTAGGAAACCAATTTTCAACCTTACTAATCTCCTGGACCTGGACCACGTGAAATAATTAACGTGGCCTGGGCAGCGCTGTGCCTCCGGAGGCCATCTCTCGCATCTAGAGAAGCTGGATCATTATTAGCTCCTTAGCAGACTTGCTGTTAGAACATCACTTTCCCAGATGGAAATGGATCTGGGAGACATCCTCTTTTATGCAGCTGGGTTCATTTCCATTATCACGACTATCTACTAGCTATCCTAATGAAAGACTGTATTGTGCTTGCAGGCTATGGCATTAAATGAAGTGCGTGAATTAAGGCAAACCGTCAAACAGGAAACAAATGATAAGGATGCTGCAGTCAATTTAGGCCTCGTGACCCTTCTTAGCAGGGGAGAGGCCACCGAATTTGGCAGGGCTATTTATTACCCTTGCTGATTTGAAACCTTTATGAAGAAAAAAAGATAGAGATGATTTTGTGGTGACAAAAATAGACAGTAAAAGACAGGTGAGGATTAATAAACTCGTGTATATATTTTTAATTAAAACCATTTTAAACTAACTTCTTCTGTAAAGTGGAAACAGAGCTCAGAAGTAAAATCATGCAAGGAGAGAAGGTGGATGGATACTTGCTATGTGTGTATTGGCAGAGAACAGGGAAGAGGAGATAAGGGAATTAAGAATCCTTTGATCGAGCAGCAATAATTTGTTGTTTAAAATGTCATTTGATGGATTATTTCTTTTAAGTTGGATAACCATTCAGTAGAGAAAGCTCATGCACCGTTAGCATTCTGAATTCCAAGAAAGTCAAAGGAGAAAAGGGACCAACCCAGCTATTTATCGAGCACCTGTGATTTTCCAGGCATCTTGTAAATAAAATGTTTTAGATGTATTTCTTTTCTCTGATGGAACTCGTATGGTTATTCTTTGCGTCAAAGGGCAAGTTAAGTAAAATTGTAAGCTCCTGCGGCCAGGGTATGTATCACAACAAGGACTAAACCCAGGCAATTTTGGTCCACAGCTCAGGGTTGCATTATTATTTTTTTAACTACTTGAATGTTTTCCCTCAAAGGGATCCTCAAAGGGTCTTAGTGCTATTTTAAGGGGGTTGGTTAATGGGTGGATCTTGCATTATATAAGAAAATATATCTCCCAGTTAGATGTATTTCAACTCCTACCTTTTGTTGTCCAATTGGTTCCCACTCCTGGCAGCCCTCTGGGGCACGGGGTGGAAGCGCTCCCCAGTGGTCCCAGCAGCTCAGCTCTCATCTACGAGCTGGATGATGGAGGTTTCGGCCCACCCAGAGTTGCTTCGCTTTCTGTTGAACCAACTTACTCGGGGATGGGTACCAATATCAAGCTCTTTTGGTCTGTTGCTAAGCAAGTAATTTGAGAAGCTGGATTACATGTGACATTGGGACTAGAGGAAGGTCCCTTTCCTTAACAACCTCATGATATGCAAGGGACACAACTTTGCTTGTTGAGAGTCAAAAGGGCTTGAAGTACCTACTAATTATATTCAGCTGAGTTCTCTAGAGAAGCAAAATCAGTGAGAGAGAGAAAGAGAGAGATAATAGACATTCAACTATGTGATCCATAACAAACTATGGAAAGCCTTAAGAAGAATAGGAATTCCAGAACACTTAATTATGCTCATGTGGAACTTGTCCATGGGCCAAGAGGGAATCTTTCTAACAGAACAAAGGAATACTGGATGGTTTAAAATCGGGAAAGGCGTGTGTCAGGGTTGCCCTCCCACCATACTTATTCAATCCGTATGCTTAGTAGTAAATCATCCAATAAGTTGGACTATAGGAAGAAGAACTCAGTATCAGGATTGGAGAAAGGCTTATTAACAACCTTTGATATGCAGATACCACAACCTTGCTTGCTGAAAGTGAAGAGGACTGGAAGCATTTGCTGATGAAGATCAAGGATTGCAGCCTTCAATATGAATTTCATCTTAATGTAGACAAAACAAGAATTCTCACAACTAGACCAATAGGTAACATCATGATAAACAGGAGAAAAGATTGAAGCTGTCAAGGATTTCATCTTGCTTGGATCCACCATCAATGCTCATGGAAGCAGCATTCAAGAGATCAAATGGTGTCTTGCATTGGGACAATCTGCTGCAAAAGCCGCCTTTGAGGTGTTGAAAATCAAGGATGTCACTTTGAGGACTAAGGAGCACTTGATTCAAGCCAGGGTATTTTCAATTGCCTCATATGCATGTGGAAGTTGGGCATTGAATAAGGAAGAAAGAAAAATGGAAACATTTGTCACACATACACATATGAAAATGGCTCACACAATTATAGGTGCTGTCTGGTTCAAGACTCTGGGTTAGATGCTAAGCTGGTGGCTTCTTCTGACTTGTGTAGCTGCTGGGGCTGTTGAACCTGAGCGCAGGAAACGAACCAGTAAGTAAGATGACACAATAGGAAGAAGAGAGGTAAATTGGTGAAACGGAAAGATCACAGGCTGGAGGATACAGACATGAGTGAATCCAAGATGGGCAGGTCTTATGGAAGGCTGTTCATGGCTCCCAGAGTTGGCAAGCAACATGGCAGTCCACTGACGTAAGTCCAAAGAACTGGAGGTTGCTGGGCCAGATGCAAGCTCTAGACCAGCAAGAAGGAAGCAGGCTCTCCACAGCATCTACTCCTTTAGGAAGTAGGCTGCACCCCAACTTCAAGACTGCGACCTCATAAAGGGGGTTTCATTCCAGACTAATCTTAAAACTGATGGACAGCAGATAGCAGATCTCATTCTGGAACTCTCTTAGGTAACAGCTGTCAAAGCACTGAGAAACCAGGCTGAGCTACGTTGACAGAAATGTAATCATCACACTGTGCAAGATCTAAGATTACCGCTCTCAGTAGGGATCATGTCTCAACATAAAAAATAGCAAAAGTCCTCACGTCTGGATGAATAAATAACATTACAGTAAGTGGAGAGGTATTGAAGTGTCAAATCTTTAATTTTACTTGGACTCCCACTCAACACCCATGGAAGCAACAGTCTAGGAACGAGACATCTTGATGGGCTACAGTGCAAGGATGTCCCCTTGAGGACTAAGACGTGCCTGGCATCAGCCAGGGTATTTCCATGGCCTCATACGCAGGGGAGGCTGGACAATGGATGAGGAAGACTGGGGAAGCATGGGTGCATTCGAGTTATGGTGTTGGTGGAGAGTGTGGAGTGCGCCATGGACTCGCTACAAACCAACCAATCTGCCTTCGAGGGACTAGAGGCGGAATGCTCCTTACAAGTGGGGATGCCAAGAAATATGTCTTTGGGAAAGACCTGCTCTTGGAAACTAACCTCATTCTTGACAGGTGGTCATCAAAAACGAGGAGGATCCAACAGGAGACGGTTTGACAGAGTGACATCTATGGGCACAACAATAGTGGTGGTGATGAGGACCAGGCAATATCTTGTTCTGTTCAATATCGGGTGGCTGTGATTCAGAACGGGCTCAATGGCACCTGACAACAGAGGTCAGGTCATCCAACAGGCTTTGCGATCTGCTTCCAGAACATTATAGAATTGAACTCTCTCTGGAGGAATTCTACTCTGTGCCCAGGGGGTCACCATGAGTTGGAATAGATACTATAGCAGCTGACACAAACAATCGGAGCTGCTGACGACGCCTTTGTTCTGTGGAGCTGCTGGTTAGGCTTGAAAGGCCAACCTTTGGGCTAGCGGCCAATCAGACCACTTGTGCCACCCAGGCATGTCAAAAACAATCACTTATTTTTAGAGTTATCAAGTAAGCTATTATTTTAAAATATTACCTATAAAATATAAGCCTAACGAGGGCAGGGACTTCTGTAAATGTCATGTTTTGTAACTCAAGTGCCTAGAACCATGCTCACCATAGCAGATGCTCAATAATATTAGTGCATGAATGAATGAAAAACTATCATTCTTTATATAAATATGATGATCTAATTGGCATTCCACTATTGGGGAGTCAGATCAGGGCCACTTCGTTTATAAACACTTATATGTAGTTCCCATAAACCCTGATGCATACATTGTTATATTTTATAAAGAAAGATTCTACTGTTTCATTATAATAGATTCCTGGAAATGGAATCGCTAGGTCAAAGGAGAATGCATTTAAGATGTGATACCATCTTCCTAGGGCAGCTGTCCCCAGTGTATCAATGATACTTCCTCTAATGTATGTAAGATTATCTATTTCACCTCAACCTGGCTGACATTTGGAGTTATCAGTCTTGTCACTCATTATAAAGTGTCATTAAATCCCCAAATCTGGAAGGCGTATTATTTCCTCTGAGTTTCTAGATCTGCTTCGAAGGTGGCATGGTGTGACAGGTCTCCTTTTCTTCTGGATTCAGCATATTCATGAGGATATTATTCATTGAAATTAACATAAAATGTTTAAACCAGCTGATCTCTGATGCTCTCGAGGCTCTGGGTTTGAATGTAAAGACTGCATCTTTTGACATTGGTAAACAAATGCTTGAGGGTGCGGAGTCTATAATTAGTTATACATCATTAGCAAGTAGAATCTGATCACTTGCTCAGAATCTATGTGATGATCCATTTCCAAACTAAATAGAAGTTTTTGAGAATTATCTGCCATTGGGAACATGTTACCTCTTGTTGCAGGCCCCACCAGGCAGTGTGAAGGAATGGAATCCACGCTCCACTGACTCTTGGTTGACTGCTAAGGCCTTGGAAAAGAAGCTGCTGACCACGATCCTGGCCAGTGGAGCAGGTAAGGCTGGAGCAATGCATGTGTGAGTTTAGGCCAGAACCAAGCAGAAATCTTAATATTGGGTGAAATATTACATAGAATGAATATAAAGTGCAATCACTTATTGAGTAAGTGTGCATTGAGTCCCTATTATACGTTCAGCACCACACAAAAGTTGGGTGCTTTGAACCCGAGGATTCAATGTCAGCCATGCAGAAAAGTGGTTCCAGTCCTAACGGGAAGGATCAGTTTATCGCTTCCCTATGTCCCTTGCTTTGGAGGCTTGCCCTAACTGCGGAGAGACCAGCCTTTCCCAGGGAACTGGTGTCTCCACTATGCTCATTAGCACTAGAAAGGAGGAGGCTCATTTTCCTCTCAGGTGGAGACAAAGGCTCCTCTTGTCCAAGGGTGAAGGGTCTTTGGTGACTTGATTTGACTCTGCCTGGCCTATGCACATTTTCAGATGGAGACCATCTGATAGCATCTGCTGCCTCATTAGGTTGATACTGTCCCTGCCCCCTCTTGTAATCATGTCACCGGAGCACTTAATAATTCCAGGTAAATGCTGTAGGCATACGCTGCAGAGGTAGCCTGGGGTCAGCAGTGACAGATACTCAGAAAGCAATTATTTCCTCATTCCCCAGACTGTTTAAAATGCAACAAGCCAAAGAGGCATCATCACTGGACAGATGTAAATACGGAAGGGGCAGAACTTGTAGCAATATAGCTTTTTTCTTGTCACGCTCTGATTTGAATTTGCATATTTTTTCAAGCCCAACAGGGACAATGAAATAAATTGGATGATTGCCATGGATGTAAAGGAGAGCCCCCTTTTCTACAGAAGGAGCGTGGGTGGGGGGCCCTCAAGTTCATTGGTGATTTAAATTATGGGCAATATTTATGAATTCCTCTCCAGTTCTAGGGAAAATAGGAGACACAACATTTTTGCATTGTTTTGAGGAAGTATTAAATCCATAAGAATTCCTAACTACAGACTGGTGAAGCCCATTCGTGCAAAGTGGGCTTTTTCTTTTGTCTTTTTATGATAGGCAGTTATTTTCATTACTGGCACTGGAGTCCAGAAAGTATTTATTGGGCCAGCCTCAAGCTGTGTGTTCATTCACAGAAGCATCTAATCTGTATCCATAGATCCAAGCAGATGTGATAGGAAGGGAGCAAGTAGCTCGATGCTAGGTTACAAAGCCGTGGTGATGACACGCGGAGGAGAACAGTGTTTGGTTTGATGACCTATAGCTGGCGCTTCTATAGATCAGAGCAGGTGGAGACTAAGGCACTGGGTGACCATTTGACTTAATGCATCATATTTACGTGGGGCGTCTTTAAATTCTGGGCAACAACTGTCTGAAAGTAGTAAAGCAGAAAGATTCCATTCTGTCATTAGTTAGTGCCATTTGTCTGATCACGTAGGCGCTAGAAAGTCAAGTATTAGAATCCTGGCGGAGAGCTGAATTGGATGGGGATTAGGTTGTGCATCTGGAGGATGGGCAGCTGAAACCATGACCCTCTGGGGCTTAACTAGATCTGACCCACCCTTCCTGGACCATGAGGGTCAAGGTCCTTCTCATCTGCTTACGTTCAAAAATCTTCTTTATACTAATCCCTACTTTTGGAAGACTTCTGTAGCATTAGTTCTGCATCCTCACGCTGTCTGAAAAGGATTCCCCTAACTTTCATGAGTGAGTGACCAAGAAGTAAAATGCCAATTCCGAGCCCATAATGCTAGCTTGGTGAATCTCAACAAAATCTCGGATCGTGGCACAAGTTCTTTCTCCCTCTTTGAATATGCCCTGTGTTCTGGGAGAACTAAGCATATTTTGGGGTTCAGGTTTAAAGATTATTACAGGGAAATAGCTTCAAGGGTTCATCCAAAACTTATGGCCTCAGATAATCTCGAGTCCTTGAAAATTTGAAATTCTGTTCTGCATCTCCCCTCTTTTGATCAGCTTGCTTTTATAGAGTTTTAATCAAAATCTTCAAAAATGGGGCACCATACAGTACTTCTGTCTTGTGGCAAAGGAGGCCGTTGTTCATGGATATAGTTCGTCACAGATTCCAGAACCTCTTTCTGTTCCTCACTCTCGTTCCTCTGTTGCTCCGGGAAAATGGAGATCAAGGCTGTGCCTTGGATGACCTCTGCAAGCTTATAGGACTCCGGGCACTCTGCTTCAGAGTGGGAGGTAGAGGCGCGACCCTAAACATGGTAGCAGGCCGTTTGACAGGGATGCCCCTGAAACCAGAGCCCTGACCCTTGAAACTCCCCCCCAAACAACAAATCCCATCCGGTTTCAGTTGTCCATAACAGTCTCAGCAGCAATACTCCCCCCCTTCTGTCACTGTTGTACTTATCTTGCACATAATGTTAGCTATTCAACTATTACGGGTATACAATTTATTTGCAGCAAATGCAATTATCAATCGTGGAAACTCGCCCTCAACACAATAGTTTTATAACCATTGATTCCCCTTCCTTTGCCATCCCCTCCTTTGGTAACTACTAACGAATTTTGCTCTCCAGCATAATTAAATAAATAAAAGATCAGTAGTTCAAGCCCACTGTGGGAGAAAGAGGAGGCCTTCTACTTTCATAACATAACACAGCCATGGAAACTCTCGGGGACAGTGCACTGTAGGGTTGCCATGAGTCGGAATAATAGCCAGGGGCTTGGGTCTATGTGCACTAGGAGCTGTGGCAGTTCAGAGTTGAAGCATTGACTGCTTACCAGAAAGTCAGTGGTTAGAACCCACCAGGCCTCCTTTGGGAAGAAAAGATGTTTCCATCTGCCTTTGCAGGCTTACAGCCTTGGAAACCATTTGGGCACAGCCTGGCTGTTCCCGTAGTGTCACTGTGCGTTGGAATTCACTAGGTGGCAAGGGATATGCCACTAGGTGCTGAGAGACACGGTCATTGGAGATTGCGTCAGTATAAAAGTGATGAAAAATAGAAATGAGACAGAGTAATAAAACAGTAGAGAAGGATTGAGGGTAATACTCTTGATAGATAGAGTGGTCAAAGAAGGGCTTTCTAAGCAAGTGCCATTTGGACAGAGATCTTAGTGAGTCCTAGTAGATCATGTAACTGCCTGGAAGGTTGGGAGGTGGGAGAATAGCATATGCAAAGGTCCTGAGGCAGGGTTTGTGTTTGCTATGTCCCCATGGAGTAGGAAAAGGGGAGAGATCAGCAAAGTAGCCAGAGATCAGAAAGGTCAAGTTGGTTTGTGGTGAAGAAGGCAGTCTCCTATTTGTTTGTTCTGCTCTTCAGTTTTTGACAGAGCACCTTTACATGTACCAATCAGGTAATGAACTTCTTGGAAACCTTGTTGAACGTGTTTGCCAGTTTATTTGCTCTGACATGTCAGCCCTGACAGTTCATCAATAAAGGAATTTCAAGGGAATGTGCAGTGGAATTTGGAATTTCTGCCATTTAATAGGCACACCACTAAAGACTTGATTTTATTTAGCTGCTGTCTTTTAAATGAATAAATAAAATGACTAGAGGATTTCTACTTATTATTTGAATTTGTAATGGTTCAAATACAAATGCATGGTTGAAAGACAAATCTATATTTTTAAAAAGCTGTTTAGTAAAAGTATGGCTCCCCTATTTCCCAAGACTTCCCCAAAGCAACTTCTGTTAGCAGAGTCTTTCTTAAGTTAGTTACCATATATACTCGTGTATAAACCAAGCTTTTCAGTCCACTTAAAAAAATTTTTTTATGCAGTTTTTGTGGTGGTAAAATTAGGTGCCTCAGCTGATATTCGGATCAGCTTGTACTTGAGTATATATGGTAGTCTGTTTCTAGAATGTAAATACCCCACCCCCTTTCATGAAACATTAATATTGTAGCTACACCACATTGTTCTGCATCTTTCAGACCTTGCAGTACTTCCATATCGGTGCACACGGAGTTGCATCACTCCTGTTAATATTCAGTCTTATGAAAATACCACAATTTAATTATTCACACATTGATGAATTGTAAAGTTTTTGCACTTAGCTATAACAATCAATACTGGGATGAAAAAGCGGGTGCATTCCTCCTTTAACTCTTTCATCTGTGTAGCTTTTGTAGGAAACAATTTCTTGAAAGGGATTGGAGACCAAAGGAGAAGTGCATAGATTTTAACCTTTGCTGGAGATTGCGCATTGCATGGATACATGCTATATTATGTCATCACCAACACACTGCACCATCAATTACATTTTGTCGTTCTGATCTGAC